CGCCGCAAAAAGCACGGGAACCCAACCCCGAGCAACCAGCCCCAGAGGCAGTCCGAGGGCCACGGAGAACGAGGCACCTCTTGCAGTTAGGCCCCCAGCCCAAACCGCAGATACACACATTTGCACACACATTTGCACACACACAAACATGCCCGATAAGGGGGCGCACCGTAGAGGGCCCCGTTTCTCGCCCTTCCAAGAAATGAGCATTGGCCACGAGTCCCCGGGCCCGGAGACCTCCCCGCTCTTTCGCAAGGGGACTTGCAGGCCCACTTCTTGTTGTTGGGGGGGGGGGGGGGCAGTAGCGGAAGATCTCCTGCGGGCAAGGGCAGGAGCTCCCGGGACGCGCCGATCGTCGATATGCCATGCCGGAGGGCGACCCACGCCCCGTCCCCCCGACCCCAAAGCGCCCAAAGCACCCAAAGCGCCCACATCGGGACGTATGTCAAGCCCCACACCATCGAGGGGAGGCAACTCCTCGGACTCGTTCTGCCGCACAAAAGGCGCGCAGGACGATGGGGGAGGCACAATGCACTGGACTTCCCCCCACCGGTCCGGCTCTCCGGGAAGTACGACCGGACGGCCGAATCCCGAGGGCCTCGGCTTCCAAAGAGGCCGGTCGGGCGGGGGGGGGGGGGGATGGCGGAGGGGCACAAACAGCGCCCCGCCGGAGCGCGCGGCCATCACACTCAGCCACACTGGCCAGGGCCACCCGGCCCCCGAGCGCGCGTCCCGGCCCGGTCGTTGTGCCGCCTCGGCTCGTTCCCCCCGCCCCCCCCGCGCCGGAGCCGGGGCAGTGGCACCGCTGGCGGGGCGGGGAAGTTTAAATTGGCCCGCCCGGCACCAGGTATGCATGCACCCCGAGGCATCGGAATGTACCTCCCCCCTGGGCCGCGCTCGGTCAATGCGTCCTTCTGTTTTACCCCCCCCCCCCCCCTACAAACCGACTACCAGACCCGGGGAAACCTCCGGCCTTCGTCGTCGTCGTCGTCGTCGACCTCGGCCCCTCCAAACACCGATATACCGATGGAAAATATTATTGCCGGCCTTTTTCGCCCGGAGAAGACTGAAGCCCGGAAACAGGAGGCGAGAGCTGGAAAAAGGGAATGAACGCCCAGAGAGACGACCTGCGGGTGTTGGTTTAGTCCCGTCCCCCCCTCCCCCCCCCCCCCCCCGCGAAGACACACACTTGCAAGCGTGATGGCCTCGCCATGCCGGAAATGAATACCCCGCCACGCGCGAGCCGCTCAATTCCCTCGCCCCCCTCCCCCCCAATAAGTCGTCGTCGGCCGGAGCACCTTGGTGAACATTTTTCCCCCTGTCGGCGGACACGAGCCCCACTGTCCCCTGAATCCTTCTGAATAGATGCGTAGGTGGCCCATATTATCATCAGGGGATGTGCCACGGTCCCGCCCCCCACCACCACTGCCCCACGCATTCTTCACTCCATCTCCCCGTTCTGTTCTCCCCCCTCTCCGGCACCGAGGCCGCCGCACCCGAGACCTGCTCACGGCTCCCCCACAGCAGTTCCCCCCTTTTGGAGGCCGGGACACCAAAAGCACGGACCCCGGCCGCCACGCCCCCCCCCCCCCTCCCAGCTCTCCCGGTCCACCGGGGCAGGGAGTGGGAATGTGCCGCGGGACGAGCGGGAGCAGCCACCGGAACATGCCCCGCCTCCCCCCCTCCCCCCCCGCAGCCGCCCCAGCAGCGAGACGGTCTGACATACACACCACATACATACACGGCCGCCGTGGTCCGATATAGTGCCAACGAATTTCCCGGCCGACCGCGCGCCCGCGTACACACATGTGATTCATTGTACACGTGGGACTCATTCGCGACCCAGCGACACCCGCAACAGGCGCATCGGGTCGAAGGGGCTCGCTGCCGTGCCCCCCCCCCCGGCCGGCGGGGCTGTGGCCCGGCCATTGGCCGGCTCCGGTGGACCGGCGCCCGGGAAGAGGATGTCCTCGGTGAGATCGCCCAAAGCGAAGCCCAGGTGCGACATCGGCCCAGCAGGGAAGTCGGCCACCTGCCGCACCACCTCTCCCGCCAGGGCCAGAGCCAGGTCACTGCCATGGATCCCGGCCCCAGTGTCAGCACTGATGGGAGGCCCGTCCGGGGATCGATCTGTCTGACCGGCGACCGGGGCCCGCCCCTTGGCACTGACCCCGGCAGGCGTGGCCCCAGAAAGCAGGGCAAGCCCGGTGCCTCGCGACCCCGTGTCGGCCGCGGCCGCTGGGGCCAGATCCGCCACCAGGGCTTCCCAGTTGCCGGCACGCCACAGGTCCTCGTGCTTGGACTCCGGGCGCCAGGACACCTGCAGCAGGCCGGCGGCCACGCGTTGGGCCAGCGAACTGGCCTGATGCCCATGGTTGCCGGCCAGCTGCGCACGCGTTGCCGCCGTTGTCCGGCGATCGGCCAGCCGCCGAGAGATTTCCCCCAGCAGGCGTGCATCCGGACCAGCTAGCCCCAAGCCCGAGGGGGACCCCTGCAGGCCGAAGAGGACCAAGTCCGCGCCCAGGGGGCCGCCGGCCGCCGGGCCTGTGGCCGGCCACTTGCCGGCCTCGAGCCCGGCGGCAGGCTCCATTGTTTGCCCGATGGCCCGGGCCCACAGGATGCGCATCCAGGCCACGCGCACCAGAGAGGCGTCTGTCCCGGCCGAGGGGGCTTCCAGGGGTGGTACATCGGAGGATGTGTGAGAGGAGCCAAGCAGGCCGGTGTGCCGCTCGCCGCGGCGGGAACACATACTCACACACACACACACACAATAACACAGGCACGCGCAAGCCAACTGTCCGCCCGCAGTCACTCTTCCTTCCCCCGCCCCTCGTGATTTCCCCCAGGCGCAGGCGACGTGCGTACCTCGACAAGCAAGACGCAGGAGGGTGTGCGCCGCATACACCTCAGCTCGCAGGTCACCGGCCAAGCGGTCCGCATCGACCGACATCCCGTCACATTGCATCTGCTCAGCCTCGCTCGCAGCAAAGCGGGCACTGGCCACCGGGGTCGATGCAAGCACCGGCTCCCCATAGAGCCGGGCAAGCAGGCGGCCCGCATCGGCCGCCGACAACATGCCGGATGCCCCGTCACATGCGAGGGCCACCGATAGCATGCTTGCCGCGGCTAACCGCCACATGGCCAGACAGAAGAAGTATGCACAGTCAAACTGCCCCGCCCGAGCCACCCCGATGGCCCGAGCACGCCCCATGGTTAGCAGGAAGCCAGGGATGGGGGGAAAAACACAGCGCCATGGGGGCAAAGTGGGAGGAAGGCATACCTCTTGCCGGGGCCAAGCCCCCACCCGGGCGTCGGATGCCCATCGCAGCAGTCTCTGGACCCGGAGAAAGTGTGCACGGAAGTCCAGGAACGAGGCGACGGCCGCCCGCAAAGCCTCCCCGGGGGCAGCCCCTGCTAGAGGCACCTGCTGTCGGAGACCACACACCGAAGCATATACAACCGCCTGGATGAGGGCCGCCAGCGGCTGTCCCTCCGGCGGGGACATGCCACTGTCGGCCCCATGCTCCAAGCCACGGAGCATGCACTCGTGCCACTCCGGCTCATGGAGCAACCGCGGCGCATGGTGCTGGTAGATGCCCGCCGCGACACTGGTGGCAAGGCGCTCGTCAGCACACGTCCCCTCGAGGGCGACATCAAGGGCGGGGAAGGGCCGGAGGGTGCCCCCTCCCGGCAATGAGCACCCCTCTGCCCACGCACCTGAGACCTGTTGACCGAAGGAACGCAGCCCTCAGCAGCCGCAGAGCCGCACTTCGGAAAAAGGGAAAGCCCGCCGAGGGCACGTCATTCGAGCTCAGGGCGGAGATCGAGCTAACCACGCGACGAAGGGTGGTGCCTAGCGCTGGGGGAGGAGGGGACAGCAGAGGCAGGTGAGTGCCGCGCAAAGAGGAGAGAGGAAAATGAAAAAAGAGGCCTTGGAGGCAGGGCCGAGGGAAATGACCCCCCGGCAGATCAGCCACACACACACACACACAGACAGACATACCGGATCCGGCGGCAACATGTGCCCGAGCTTGGATGTCAACAGCCACGAAGGAGAGCAGATCCACCGAGCACCAGAAGTCCTCGCTCGAGGGGCATTTGCCCGGGTCCATGACAAAGCCGGGGCCAATCCAGGGAAGATGCGCCAGGCGCTCGAGGCTCCGATCAAAGTCCCGGGCCACCGCAGCACGGAAAGCCTCGATCAGGTCTGCGTGCCAGCGAGACCGCGGATCTGGCGGCAGGGGAGGGGCCACCCCCATCACGGGTAGCATGCTGTCCTTGAGCACTTCCAAGCAGCCGAGGTTGGGCTCACGTGCGATAGTGGCTGAGCGGGTGCGAAAGAGGGGGAAAGAAAATGAGGGAGGGGTTTGCTTGAAGTGGCTCTGCCTCTGGCCACCGGGGCCCGTGAAGAAGAGCCCCCCCCCCCTCCGGCGGCGCCCGATCGCCTTCTGCCTCGGGCCGAACACCGGGGGGGGGAGGCCGGGGACCGCTAATGAGCTGCCAATGTACACAGGCCATTCCCGTCACCCCCGCCCTGAGAGAGACCCCCCTGTCCCCGGGGCAGGAGGATGCAGGCACTGGCGCCGCGGCCAGGCCGGCGGGAGGTCGCCAGCGAGGGGGATCACCCGGCCGGGCTCCGCCGGTTGGCGATGCCGCACGGCGACTTTCCTCGCCCCCTCAAATGTCTTGCCCGGTGGGCGTGCCCTCCGGCAGCTGCGTTTGGGCCCCCGCACACTAGGCGCAGTCGGCGGGGGCTTTGGACTTTTTTCCGCTGGCCTCTTGGTCGCGGGACTCGCCCACCTTCCCGGCAGACAGGCCAACATGCCTGTGTCTAGCCATCGGCAGCGAATTGTGCCTGCGCGGAATGTGACTTGCCTGTGGGTGTAAATGCCCGAGCTCACCAGTTAAGGGCTTTAGCCCAGTCTGGCCATTTAGAAACAACAGGTCACGCGACACAGGGACTTAATCGATCCCCGTCTGGTCTTTACCTGTGGACGAGGAGCTCCCCCCGAGCACTATGCGACCCACAACTGTTGCGCCTTACTAATCTGGCAGCCCTCACTCGCCCTCCCGGGCGCGAGACCGCTCACGCCTGGGGGTCCCGGCAACATAAGCCACTCGGCCTGCGCCTGGGCGTATCTGCGCATATGTGCACCTACCCAAGCGGAAGGGTCCCTCCATCATCCATGCACCCCCCCTCCCCCCCGTTCTCCTGTTCTCCCCTCCATGCTCTCGCTGCCTCTCCCCCTCCTCCTGTGCCGGCCTCAATCCCACCACCTCGCCGAGCGGCGGTGACACGCCATGACAGTGTACCTGCAAAGCCGCGTGCATGTGGTATGTGTATGTGTATGTAGCGGCTCGGTGGATGCGCGTGCGTATGCGAGAGCCAGGGGGGGGGGGGGGAGGAGCGGGCAGAGGAGTGGAGCATTTCAATGGCAGCGGCGGCCATAGTCGGGTCTAAAATAGGTATGCCGATCCTTCGTCATCAAAGCGCTCGACTGGCGAGGCACCAAGGCCCAAGAAAACTGTTCTCAGGCTGCTGGCCGCCAGTGAGGTCGACTCAACCGACCGCGCAAGGTGGTCCGAGTGGTGGCAGAAACGCTCGAAGTCTTGCTGGTCCGATGCAACAGCAGACTGCTCGCCGGGGCGCGAACCATGCAACATCGCCATGTCAATGGGGCAAAAACATGTCATGTATGGGTGGGAGAGGACGAGAGATGGGCCGGGTGAGCAAACGTCTTGGGGTGAAAGGGGGAAGAGGAAGCCCACCGGGAATCACTTCCGCGGGCTGAAGCACGCACGAGTACGCTCTTCCAGGTGAGCTGAGCCCGACAGCGCAAGGCCTCCTTCTCGTGTTGGGCCTCGCGCACAAGGAGCTCCAGCGATTCGATGGTGGAGTAAATGCGCCCGGCGGCGGCCCGGTCGAAATACGCGCGCCGCCGGGTCGCATGCTCGTACAGGCCCTCCAGGATGTGACGCAACTCGAGCACACTGTGTGTGTGTGTGTGTAGCGGGGCGCGAGGGAGAGAGAGAGAGAGAGAGGGGGGGGGGCAACAGGGAAGGGGTCAGATAGGCGCCCGGGGGGACGGGAGCAACGAGGCAAGAGCATGAAGAGGCAAAAGACAGCGCATGGCGGCCAGTCTGCGCGACGGACATCTGTTCAAGTAGCCCCACTCGACGGGAGCTGAGTGCCAGGCGCTGCTGCAGGCGCAGCCAGGACCACACAGTCTGGCTGTTCCGCTCGAACTCCGCCCGCCCGGCGCGGTTCAGTTCCCGGAAGCTGGCCTCCAGCGCCAAAACAATGTGTGAAGTGTCCCCGAGAGCGGGAACATCGATCTTCAGCCGGAAAAGCCGGGCGGCGTCAAGCCGGGAGGAGAGAGAGAGAGAGAGAGGGAGGTGCGAGAAGGCAGGGGGGGGGATGACCGAAGGAAGAAGGGTCAGACACATTCACGCGAGGCATATTGCCACAGGGCCGGGGCCCGGGGAGAAGAAAAAAAAAGAGAGAGTACCTCACGCAGGCGTGACATCAGCCCTTCGTAGCTGGAGCGGAAGGAGGCGCGGCCGTCCGGGCCGCCACTGGACACCAATTGCGCGGGCGAGGCCTCCGACAGGGAGAGCGCTTGGAAATTCGTAAACGGGTTGACCGGATCATTGCCCATCCGGGAGATGGGCGATGACAAGGCAGACCCCGTCACTGAAGAAGGCACTCGCCCGGGCGAAACGCCGGTGGCCGGCTTGGCCGACCATGCGGTGCCCCGCTGCTGCGACGCACCCAGAGGCTGGCCACTTTCCGACATGTCGGTGACCGAAATGGAGGGAACGCTGATGCTTGCGCGGCGCTGACCGGCCACCAGGGCCGGGGCCAGAGTGTGCCGACGCCCGGGTGGCGGCGCCGGCGGCGGGAACAGCGCGTACTGGAAGGCCGCCGGAGGGTGCGGCGCATTGTCCGAGCGCAAGGTCGAGGCGGCTCTCCCGGCACCGGATAACAGAGACCCGGACATGCGCCGCCTGGGAGACGAATCGATGGCCGGGCCCCGGGCTGCTGGGACCACCAGGGGCGGGGGGTCTTCCCCGTCGCCGGCCACGAGCGACTGCGTCGAACCAAAGCCCCTCCCGCTGTCCTCATCCACCGGCGACAGGACCCCCAATGACAGAGGTCCCATCCCCGGCTCGCCGCCGAGAGGACGCTCGGCCATGGCTCCCGGCGAATCGGCCAGCGAAGCCCGCGGTGAGCCCTCCAGCGAGCGGAGCTCTCCCAGATAGTCGCCCCCAGCCAGCGTGGCACTGCCGGGCGGTGTCGGCCGGACCGACTGCGGGGCGGAGGCGCTCTGCCAGTGCTGCACGGCGGAGGCGGCCGTGGCCGAGGCACTGGCGGCCGCGGCGCCGGCCGCCACTGCCCCGCCCCCGGGCGTCGCCGTGCCACCAGCTCCAGCCGATCCGCCAACCAGCCCCGGCAAGTGAAGTGACCCGGAGAAGGACCGGCCCAGGTGTGACCGGGGACTGGGCCGCGGGCGCCCCAGGGAGCGCGAGTCTCCGGGAGTCGACTGCCCCGAGCTCGCCGTCGATGGCAACACCCCCGCCGCATGGGACCCACCTCGGTCAAATTGCACCAGATGGTCATGCCCCGCGGCATCGGGAGTTGGCCGGATCAGCAGCTGCTGGAAGGCTGCATCAGCCTGGTTGACCGCCTGCTCGATTTCCTGATCCACATCGGTGGTGAAGATGCTGGGAACATGGCCCGGGCTGGTGGCCGGGGATCGAGGCGACCCGGGCGAGCTCCCGGCCAGCGGCATGGACACCGACTGGCCGGCCGAGTCGAGCTCGGGCACCTGGAAGACCGAAGCCTCGGGCGCCCAGGCATTGTCGAAAGGCGCGTCCCGGTCCAGCAGGGGGGGTGGCCGCGGCCGCCGCATGCCCTCCGAGCGCTGTGCCGCCTGATCGAGCCACCATTGTTGCGAGTGCGGCTGCGGGCGGGGCGGGAAATAGTGCTCCTGCGGTTCCGGATACTGGTGGATCGGCTGGGGCTGACCATGCTCCTCGTCCTCCTCGTCAAACCCCGGCAACAGCAGCAGTCGGCCTCCAAGCAGCATCGAGCGGAACTGCTGGTAAACCGTTTGCTCCACTTGCTGGCGGTAGTGCCTGAACATGACCTTGATGGCTGCCAGATTGGACCGGTGCTCCGAGTAGGAGTCCTTCAGCTTGCGCTTCATCTCCTGCATCTGCGCCGCGTGCGCTTGGGCTTGCGTCTGCAGGCGCTTCTCCAGGATGGCCACCCGCTCGCGCAGCTCCACCAGCGGGTGATCGATGTCGCTCTAGAGCGAGGGACGTCCAAAGGGGGGGGGGAGGAGGGGAACGTCAGCCGAAGAGGCCCCACCGCGGGGGAGGAGGAACACCGACAGGAGGCACAAAAAGCGGCTCCCGCGATTGACCCAAGCCCCTGGCGTACCACTTCAAAGTCCACATGGATGGACTCCACTTCTGACAGGGGATCGGGCAGGTCGGCCGAGATGAGGCCAGTGAAGTCGTGAAGAACATCGCGCGCCCCATCGAGGGCAAACTCCTACGCAAGGGATCCAGCTGGTGAGTAATACCGCCGCGAGTGCAGGAGCATCTGCATGCTGGCACACGGGAAATCGGCGAGAAGGAGGGAGAGGGAGGGAGGGAGAGGGAGGGAGAAAGGGCAGAGACAGAGACGAGCAGAGAGGGCACCTTGTATTTGCGCCCGAGGAACTCGCCAAGGATCATCGGAAAGTACCGGGTGTCCTGTCCGATTGTCCGCTCCATGACAGATGCCAGGGTGATGCAGGACTTCAATTTGGTGGCCAAAAAGTCGGTCTTGACTTTCAGGGCATCCACTGCCAGCATTGTCCCGCGGCGCAGCAACCGGGAGGTTAGCAAGCCGGAGCATCCGAAGGCCGGCGAAGGGAAGTAGGCAGCGGAAGAGCAGGGCCGGGAGGTGGGAGCGCACTTTTTTCCTTAGCCGCGGCATTCAGCCGGTCAATCGCTTGACTACATTCGATCTTCAGACGCTTGTCATGCTCAATGAAAACCTCATGCACAAGCGCCTGGGTCTTGGCGTGATTCTGTATCGGCGTGCAGGGCGAGGGGCGGGGTGGAGGGCGGCGAGGAGGGGATGCAAAGCAAGGGTGGGGAGAGGGGGGGCGCATGCCAGAAGTGTTGTGAGAGTGAGTCTCGAGGGAAGTGGAAAAAGCAAGAAGAAATCCAAGTCATCCCCTCCCCCCGCCCCCCTCCCCAGCTCCACGTACACTCTCGAGCACCGGCAGCAGGCCGGAAATGTTGATAAGGGACTTCGCGATCGACTCATTGTAATGCCGCAGCCGGTGGCACAGCTCCCCGAGGTTTTGCCGGAAGATCTTATCATCGCTGAGGCTGATGGTTTGGGTGTTGCGTGGAAGGTTGCTGACCGAGCGCCGACCGGTCTGGGGAGTGTGCAGGAAGGCTGTTGAGGGCTCCTCAACGGCCATGGTACATGCAATGCACAGCATCCGTCCCTCAAATGGGTCGTACATGCGGAAGGGCTTTTGGTGCTGCTTGCAAATCCAGAAGCTCGTTGAGGCCGCGCTGGGCCGCGGGCCGAAGGACGTCTCCATCGGGAAGCCGGATAGCGCCGGACCCCGAGGGCTGGCCAGAGCCAGGGCTTCGGTTGTCCCGCTGGAAGCGCCGGCGCCGGGGGCGGAAGCGCCCGCGCCACCGCCCCCCGAGGTCGCCACCACAGTCGTCGAGAAGTGCGCGCGAACAACCTCGTGCTTGCGGTACATACGCGCCTGGTGGACATCCTGATAGCAAGGGTCACAAATGAATGAGGCACACGTCTTGCAGTACCAGTCCACTGAGGGGCCGTTGCAGTTGGCTGGCAAGCGGGAGAATATGGTCAGCGAGGGAGGGGAGGGTAGGGGGGGGGGAGGGGTGGAAGAAGAGGAGAAAGAGAATGGCAAAGGGGGTAAAGAAAAACAAGCAGGGGGTGGCCAGTGGAGGGAGACAGGTCGAACGGCGGTCCCCTGGCCAGGGGACACCGAGGCGCACCACAAACATTTCGGTTCATGTTACTGCTGGCCGTGGCTCGGCTCATGTGAACCACATACTCTGTGTGAAGGTCTCGCTCGAAGGGACGATTTTTCTGGACGATGGAGTTCTTCTTGCAGACCTCACAGTCAACCACAGTGCCGAAGGCTGTGGCCCCATCCCGGAGAGGGGAAAGAGGGAGCAAGAGGAGCGTAGAAGTCACCGCAGGGTACATGTGCGTGCGTGCGTGCGTGCGTGAGAAGGAGAAGGAGAAGGGGGATGATCACAAGCAAGTCGGCGAAGCAGGCAAGGGGTGACATCGAAGGGAGCACGCACGCCGATCCAAGACATGAAAGCCACAGCACGTATGAAGACAATCCAGGAACATGGGGTTCTCGCCGACTGGCGACACATGGCACACACAGCACGTGAGCGGGTCCACAAGGCGACTGAAGTCGATGATCCCAAGTGCCGGCAGGATGGCCCTCAGCTCTTGCGAGTAGCGCGGCACTGCCACCCGCAGAGTGGCCGTCGTCACTGAGATCCCTCGTTGCAGGGGGGGCGGCTTGAAGCGACCCCCGCTGGCGCTGGAAACCGTGCCCCCGGGCGAGGGGGCCGCCGAGCCGGGGCTCGGCATGATGGCGGTCGGCGAGGGCGGGGCACTGGAACCAATGGTGGCACGTCGGCGCCCGGGACTGGTGCCCGGCCCGGGCCCGGGCCCGGGCCCCGGGAATTCCACACTACCGCTGCCGCTGCCACTGCCGCTGTTCCACGCGCCGAAGCTCTCGTCATCCGAGCGGACCGGGCTCGAGGCTTCGGACTCGGAGCCGGAGCCACCGACACCCCGACCGGACGGCAATCCCAGGAAGACCAGGGGCGACAGTTCGGCATTGGGCCGAGGGGAAGTCCCGCCGGCCAGCGTCGCCCCGGCCAACTCCGCATCTTCATCCTCCTCCAAGGGGCTGGGCAGGTCCTCATGGCCAAAGACGTATGTCAGCGTCGAGGGCGACGGAGGCGACAGCCTTGGAAGGGGCGAGGGAGGCCCGCTGCCTCCCGGGCCAGTGTGGGGGATTTTCAGGGGCCGCGACGGCGGCGAAGCCGAGCCCATTCCCTGTCCCTTGGCCCGGGAGTGGTGCGGGGCAACCACCAGCGGCGAGAGGAAGGTCCCCTCGGGAAGGGCACTCGTCCCGGCGGGCGATGTGATCGCCAGCAAATTGGCCGCCGGGTCATTGAGCAGCAGGGAAGGGCTACTGGAAGCCAGCAACAGGGGGTTGCTTTCTGACCGAGTGACCAGGGGCACCACACGTCCACCCGGCCCGGGGGATGGCATCACCGATGATCCCACCATGCCTGACAGGGAATGATGCGAATGGTGCAGGCGGACATTCTTTCCGGAGGGAGCACCGCCTCCCAGGCCCGAAAAGGCGCTCGAGCTTGCTTCCCCCATGTTTGGGAGGTGCCCGGACAGACGTCGGACAGGCTGCTGCTGTTGCTGCTGCTGCTGCTGCTGCTGCTGCTGCTGCTGCTGCAGATGGTGGTGGTGGTGGGGGGGGGGAGGATGATGGCTCCCTGGGGTATCACCATGAGCTGAGGGACCAGTTGGCTCATCCTGCACGGTGATCGAGATTGAGGGATTGCTGCCGAAGGTGACATCGGCGGCCTGCAGCTGGTCCGCCTGGCCACCGCCGACCAGAGGCATTTCACTGCTGCGCCGCCGGCCGGCCATGTGTCGCCCTTCTGAGAGGTGGGGAAAGATGAGGGTAGAGGGGGCGCAAAGAGATGGCAGAGAGAGCGAGAGAGAGAGAGAGGCAAGAGAGAGGGAGAGAGAAAGCGCGGCAGGGAGAGGATACGGAGGATGGGGGGAAGGGAAGAGAAAGAAAGAGGGGCCAAAATAGAGGGCCAGGGGAGGCGGGACGGAGGTGAATGACACGGGGGGGGCCGCGGCACACCCGGCCCCGCCGCGGCGGCCTTTTGTCATGGTTCGTCCCCGAACAGGTGGCGACTGGGGTGGTGCCAGCGGCTGTGGCGCAGAGCGATCTGCCTCTACGGCGGCCTGCACGCCTGCCCGCCCGTCTGCCCGTCTGCCAGCCCGCCACCAGGAGCCGTCCCCAGGGGCGGGCAGCTCTCCGCGCTCAAGCCGCAACCAGGGGGACGCGGGATCGCCGACACCTGGTGGAGCGTTGGCAGATCGGGCGCCCAGATTGCTTGAGTATCCTCGCCGAATGCCACTCCCGCGCGTCGCACACACAGCCCGACACCGGGGTCCGGACCGAGGGGGCATCTCTTTGCGGGCACCGAACCGAACTGCGGCCCGCCCCCCTCTCCCCCCGAAGAGCATGCCCCCAGGGCGCATCCGGACAAAAGGCGGGCTTTTTTCCCGACACATGCACACACACACACACACACACACACACACCGGTGTTGCACACGCGCAATACCACACCCGACAAAGGGAGAAAGAGGCGCGACAGACCCACAAGGAGACCCCAACGCGAGGGAGGGCATATATTCAAGAGAGGGAGTGGCCACGCACTCCAGTCACATGGACAGAGACAAGAAGGCCAGCCAATGACGGCGCCCGGGAGGCGGAGCCGCGTGCTGTATGGGGGAGAGGGGGAGGGAGGGGGGGGGGGAGAGAGGGAGAAAGACCCCTAGTGGCGAAGGAGCTCGGTGAGCTGCGCGCGTGTGGGTTCGCTCAGCTGCCCGACCATCACCGGCCACCGGTCCCCGGCGCGCAGGCTGTACCCATTGAAGAATTGGCGGAGCCCGGCCGCGAAGGGTCCCGACATGGACCGCCAGTTGGCCACCACATCACAGAGCATGGAGAACAAGGCCTGCTCGGCCGGGGGGTTTTCGGCAATGGCACACGAGAGCCCGGTGAAGGCGCTCTCCAGCATGGCATCAAGCGGCATGGCAATGGCCACCGAGCACCAGTCTGCCAGGAAGTGCGGCAGGAGGGAGGCCAGCTCCCCGGGGCACGAGTGCCCCAACCGGCCGAGGGTGATGGCGGCATTCTCCCGCAGAGAGCTGGGAACCGTCACCGAGGACAGGATCTTCATCAGCCGCGGCAGGACCTCCATCACAAAGGGCCGGATCGGCCCGCTGAAGTCTTTGGTCATCTCGCCAAGAGCCCAGCAGGCATTGTTACACACCGACACGGAATCCCGGTCCAAATTGCCCACCAGGTCCGGCATGATGAGGGACACATTGTCCGGGCCAATGTGCGCCGGGCTGGCGACCGTCAAGTCGCCCAGCAGACCGAAGGCCGACTGTCGGACCTCTTCCGAGTCATCGCGGATGCAGTGCTTGATCAGCTCAATCAGCGGCGTCGGGCAGGAGGCCACCAGCGGCTCGATGGCTCCCTTTAGCCCCTCGGCGATGCCGGACAGCAGGTCGAAGGACACCACGATGAAGGACTTGTCCGGCTCCGGCAGGTTGGGGTTGTTGTCGTAGGCCTAACCAAGTACATGCATACCCGCGTGTGTGTGTGTGTGTGTGTGTGCGTGTGTGCGTGTGCGTGTGTGTGTGCGCGTGTGTGTGCGCGTGCGTGTGCGCGTGCGTGTGTGTGTGTGTGCGTAGGTGCGCGCGCGCGCGCGCGCGCAGAAACACGGACAGGTCAGTAAATGCTTCCGTAAAGAGACAGCTCGCAGGCGGCAGGCGAGAAGAAGGAGCCGGATGGGGGAAGATCGCACAATCTCCGCATTGATGGTGTTGACAATGATTCTAACTGCCCGGTTGAAGCACACCCCGCTGTAAGGGAGGAAGTTCTCCCGCAGGGTGTTCGCCAGGGTGGACAGACACTCAAAGAGGGAGAAAATGTCGGTACTATCGTCCGGCGTGGCATCCCAGCGCTGCAACAGCGGCGGCATCAAAATGCTCAACAGAGACTCTTCACAGATGGCGCTGCCGACATTCTGCACCAGCGTCGCCAGGGTGTCGTACATGAGAAGCAGGTTGTTTTGCTAAGCAGCGCAGGGGGACCAAAGTGCGGTGGCGGAGGGGTCAGTCGTCAAGAGAGGCCAACAGACCGGGGATCAATCGGGGAGAGAACAGACCGCGTCTCAGGCGCACCTGGAACAGGGAAAAGGCCTTGATCAGCGGCGGGAGCACCGAGTGCAAGTATGCCACCATGGCCAGGCCGATGGACTCGCTGATCAGGGTGAATGCGCAGCAGGCGGCACCCTGAACGCGCTTTGTGTTGTCGTGCATGGATCCCAGAATGGCTGACAGAACGCGCGGCATGTATGGCTCGAACTCCGGCGCCGAGTGGAACCACGCGGCAAACCGGCTAACCGACCAGCACGCGGTTTCACGCACAAGCGGCTACATTGAAGCAAGAGCAAACCAGCGGGCAGAGGGGGAGGCCGAGGGGAGAGGGGGGGGGGCCATATGTGTGAGCCAGACGCCGAGAGAGGAGGCCGCAAGGAAAACCAAAATTGCGACGCGGGCGGGGCAGGATACGCACATGCGGGTGGCGAAGGTTCTCCAGCAGGAACTCGAATGCTCCGATGGCCTGGGGAAATCCGGGGAACACATGCTTGGACGCCACGCCGAGGACCAGGATGCCAGCCTCGCGGGGCTTCCACTCGTCAGAGCCCAAGTAGGGCTCAAGGGTGCTCAGGACCGCGGGGCCGATCTCGGCTGAGAACTGCGAGATGATCTTCTCCAACAGGGTAGCCGAGTACTGTTGTCAAAAGGGCGAGTTGAGGGGGGGGGGGGGGGGGGGGCGACATGGGTTGGTCAGAGGATGGTCCCAACATCTCGGAGAAGGAGCAGAATGGAGGGAGAGGGGCGGGGAAGCCCAAATGGCGCGAGGGATCGACGGTCATAGGGAGGCACAGCGAAAGCATACCCGGCGGAGGTTCCAATTCTGGACCTCACCATCATCCTCATCATCATCGTCATCATCATACCCGGCATAGTCGGCGCTTTCGTCAAAGTCATCCCCATCGAAGTCCTCATCTTCATACTCCTCCACAAAGGACTCCGACCCGGCGCCCGAGGTCTGGAGCCGCCGCCGGTGGAAGCGAGGGCGCAGCTCCTCCGGGCGATCCGGCACTGAGGCATCCTCGATGATGCCGTAGGACCCCTCGGCATAGATGACATTCTGCACCAGAATCGGGAGGAGACTGTGCGCGGGCGAGGAGCGAATGGAAGAACGGAGGGAAGGGGTGAGCAAAAGCCCACCCAGATGGCAGCAACGGTGGGAGCCCAAGCTGGGGGGCGGATGATCGCAAGCAGGGACATCGAGACGCACCGCTTGATGAAGGGCACAACCACCGAGTACAGGTCGGAAGTGTGCTGGAAGACAAGGAGCCAGAACTCGCAGGCTTGCAGGGCCACCGGCTCATCACGGTCGGTGATGGACAGCAACATGTACTCCAGGATCTTGTCGATAAAGGGAAGCAGCGAGGCCGGAGATACCTCGAAAATGTACACCAGCGCCTCGCACACGTGCTTGCGCACGAAGGAGTCCGAATCGGTGGCCGTGTTGGAGAGGGACTGATTGCACGAGCAAAGGACGAGGCCAGGATGTCAGGCGCCGGTGCGGAGGAGACGAAACACGGGAGAGCGAGAGCGAGAG